AAAACCCCCAGAGAGGATGCTCATAAACCAGCCTGCCTGCGAGAGGAAAAGAGAGAACTGTGGAGAAAGCTAGGGACAGGCTCTCCAGGGGTTATAAACAACAGAGACTGGAGAAACGATGCAAAAGTGATTCAGGTCCCTTGCCAATGCCCTGTTTATACTGAGCCAAGGAAGCCTCAGATAGCACAGGGACTGCAGCTCCCCTCTGTGCAGGTTAGGGTCAAACTCCAGAGACAAGATCTGACAATCCATGAGCTGGCTGCTGTGCAGTCTGTTTGTCCAGGGTTTTTGGATACAGTCCCAGTTTGGGATACCCACAGGCTACGGCAACACAAGGCAGGGTTATTTGTGAGATTAGGCTCCATGAGATGTGAATATACTGTAATTACAGAGATGATGAACAAGGACTTCAAAGTGAGGTGCAATGGGGCTGGGTGTGGGCTCTGCATAGAAGGTAGTGCTGCAGGGCTGGCCTCCTCCATGCTGCCCTACAGCCCCCCTCTGCCCATCGATGAGGGCAATAGCTATATGTTGTCTAATTAGCACCGTGAGAAGCCAGCTGGCTGAAGTAAATTATAACCCTTCAGGCATTGATAGGGTGGAGGAGCTATCAGAAGTAGCAAAAGAACAAGGAGTCCTTGTGGCACCTTAGAGACTAACAAATTTATATGAGCATAAGCTTTCGTGGGCTAAAACCCACTTTATCGGATGCATGCAGTGGAAAATACAGTAGGAAGAGATATACACGCACACATACAGAGAACATGAAAAAAAATGGGTGTTGCCATACCCACTGTAACGAAAGTGATCAGTTAAGGTGAGCTGCTATTAGCAGGAGAAAAAAACCCTTTTGTCGTGATAATCAGGATTATCACTAAAACTGGGTTCTTTTCTCCGCCTGATAGCAGCTCACCTTAACTAATCACTCTCGCTATAGTGAGTATGACAACACCCATTTTTTTTCATGTTCTCTGTGTGTGTATCTCTTCTTACTGTATTTTCCACTGCATGCATCCGATGAAGTGGGTTTTAGCCCACGAAAGCTTAGGCTCAAATTTTTTTAGTCTCTAAGGTGCCACAAGGACTCCTCGTTCTTTTTGCTGATACAGACTTAACACGGCTACCACTCTGAAACCCATCAGAACTAGGAAGCCCTAGCACCACACCTGCTGTTCCTGGTGCAGTTAGGAGAAATCCCTGAGGGAGAACAAAGAGGGCAAAAAGACAGAGGAGAGCATAGCCTCAGGAGGCCTACAGAGGAGAGAGAGAAAAGGACACAGTTTCCTCCTCTCATTCTAAATCCAGAAGCTCTTGCCCAGTTTCAAAGCAGCAGCCCGCTCTCCTTCTGAATGCTCTCTCTGTCCCTTCCACCTGCAGGAGGCTGGGATATGTTAGGGCACATTTCAGAGAAAAGTGTGTGTCAGAGAATGTCTCCCCTCCTCAGCAGAAAGCTCCTGGCCTGAGGCAGCCTTCCCTTGGTCCACAGTTGCAATATCACCTGCTTCCAAGACAGCAGAAGGGGAGGGATTTTAGAGAAGGTAGAGGGGTGAATAATACACTTTCTATGCAAGTACTAACCCTCTGCCCTTCTCAGACCCTTCTGAGGATCTCAAAGTATTTTATTAAAAAAAAAAAAAAATTAAGCCTCACCATATGTCTGTAAAGTAGATAAGGGATGTGTAGGGTTTGCTACAGCCACCTCTAGGCAGGAACACCGCAGCTATTTAACAGCTCTCTACAACATTTTAGGACCAGAAGTGCAGAAAAATCTCTCAACTACCGCTGCCAAGGAATTCTAGGTAGGCTGAATGGACTAGGTCACTGGGGCACTTACTGTAATGCCACAGCATCTTTATTGACTCGAACCTTAATTTTTTCTGTCCCACCTTTCTTCTTTCCAAGTCGGTACTGAATGCCAGCTGAGTCAAGACCATCCTTACCCACAGGGTTTTCTTTAGAACGCTCCCATCCATGTACTGACTGACCCACCCTTCACCTACTTAGCTTGGGAGTAGACAGAATTGCAGCACACAGCTGGAGACCACACCAGAACTCCTGTAAGGATATAATGTACTCTGGGCTTCAGGGGCAGACACCTTGAAGATCCATCAGCAGTTGATTGCTCCCTTGCATTTGATAGGGGGAAAAGGTCACAGATCATCACAGTGGTCCCTTCTGGCCTTATAATCTATTAATCAAAAAATTCAAACTGGACATAGCTCTTTTACCCAAGCTGCTGTCACTCCTTCCCTCCCTAACAGGGACCTGTTTAAAAGCTAATTTCAGTATGATCTAGGATTAAATCTTCAAATACCTTTAAGTATTTATCACTTTTAAACTTGGATTTGGATTCCCTCTTGGTCACCTCAGGAGAACAGGGAGCAGTGTGGAGGGCAAAGAGCCAGCTTTTGCAACAGCAGGTGCTGACTCTGGAGGGACAGAGGTTTTCCCTTTACACAGTGCTGTCTAGCTCTCCACATGGGAGATCTACAGAGGAACAGTGAAAGACTCCAGGGGGAACTGCACTGAGCCCCCATACAGGAAAGAGGGCCTAGAGGAACAATTCAGAATATAAGACCTGAGAGGATTATTGCAGCATCCTTAATTTTCAGCAAGGGAGATTTAGGTTAGACATTAGGAAAAACTTCCTAACTGTAAGGGGTAGTTAAGCAGTGGAACAAATTACCTGGGGAGGTTGTGAAATCTCTGTCACTGGAGGTTTTTAAGAACAGGCTAGACAAACACCTATCAGGGAAGGTCTACATATAGTCATGCCTCAGTGCAGGGGACTAGACTAAATGACCTATCAAGGTCCCTTCCAGTCCTACAGTTCTGTGATTTCTATGATGGATCATAACTGATTTGCAATGGCCAGTGATGGGTTGGCCTAGAGAGGAAAGGGGCATTTGTCAGTCCTGTTGCTTTATAAACATGTAGCAAGGTTTCTATTCCCCTGACTGTAATAAGTGAACAAATGACTGCACAGAAACACATATCCAATCACTCAGTATTGTAAATGAATAGAAAACTCTTTGCCTTCTGGGGCTTTCAGGATGTGTGTGCAGACAGTGTGGCACCAGCCTTGAGAACTTTGGTGTGGTACTGGCAGGCAAACTGTCTGCAGCCCACACTTGCATGACTTCCACTGTTGGCCTGTTGTCTGGAACAAAGAAAAATGTGCACACAATAGGGTCTCAGGGTGCAACTTATGAGCAATGCCTGCAGAAGGGAGAGACCTAGAAAGTGGGACAGGAGCTGGGGTATGTGTAAGGTGCACAGAACATGTTTTCTATCTACAGAAGCAGGCCAGTGTGGGGAGAGAGAATATGTTTAAGGCAATTCTCTCTCGCTCTCACACCCCCCCCCCCCCCACATTCCTTTCTTAAGGGAAAGTAAGTGACTGGTGAGGGAATCTAAAGGCTGACAGGAACCAACATGCTTTTATCGGATCTGTCTTTGCAAAGACAGTCTGGGTGCTGGTGCTAGGTGAGGCAGTCAACATGGAAAGGAACAACCTGGAGGGAGGCTCTGGAGGGCAGGAACCTGTCTTTGTGTGCTAGTATTAACGGGCCAGGCAGCTAGCCTCCCTGGGCTCATTGTTCCGGCTGAAAAAGGCCCAATGTTGATTCTGGGCAGGTTGGAGAGCCCGGATTGAGCTGTGGGTAGGCCTGAGCCTCCTGCATGACCCCCCCTGCAGTCTGGCTTGGGGGCCTAGGCAAGCTGAGTTAGTGTTTGAACCAAAACAATGGCACCATAAGAGTAGAACTGAACCAGGGTGCGTGGGGCTGCCCTATCTGTTCTCACCCCAACCTCCCATGGGCACTCAGCCCCCTGCAACCCAGAGCCCTGCGCTGTGGGCCTGAGGTGTTGTAACAGCAGTGCCCTCTGGTGGGCAAACTCTGAGTCATGCCTACTCAGCCTAACCCAGAAATGGGGGTGGTGACAGTAAAACCAAGGAACCCAGAACCTTGACACTCCATGCAGGTTAGTTGAGGCTCAAACTGTTCCCCTGTGAAGAGAAGCTGCTGCAGAGCAGTTCTAGGTGAGGAAGGCAGGACGGCCCATAGCTGCCCCTTGCAGTGGTGAGCCAAGCCTGACGGGGTGGCAGGGGAAGCAGAACAGTTTAAGAGGGCCAGGATAGGAGCTGGAACATGGCTAGGGCTGAGTTTAGTCCCCTATTGGCCATTGGGGGAAAGAAGAGGGGCTGCCCCAGGGGCACCTTCTTTCCCCCAGAGCAGAACTAGATTTACTCCCAGCTCTTGCCCTGCCAGTCGCCACTGTTAAGAATTTAAGAACAGCCATACTGGGTCAGACCTAAGGTCCATCTAGCCCAATCTCCTGTCTTCCGACAGTAGCCAATGCCAGGTGCCCTAGAGGGAATGAACAGAATGGGCATTCGCCAAGTGATCCATCCCCTGCTGCCCACTCCCAGCCTCTGACAAACAGAGGCTAGGGACATCATCCCTGCCCATCCTGGCTAATAGCTATTGATGGACCTATCCTCCATGAACTTATCTAGCTCTTTTTTGAATCTTGGCCTTCACAACATCCTCTGGCAAAGAGGCTGACTGTGTGTTCATTTGGTGACCCCTAGTTCTTGTGTTATGAGAAGGAGTAAAACAACACTTCCTTACTTATTTTCTCCACACCTGTCATGATTTTATAGACCTCAATCATATCCCCCTTAGTCATTTATTTTCCAGGTTTGAAAGTCCCAGTCTTATTGATCTCTCCTGCCCCTGTTAACCTCTCCTCCAGACAACGGCTTTTCCTCGAGCCTGCCTCAGAGTCACCCTAATGCTCTGAGACATGGGGCACAAGAAAAGGGTATATGAGAAAAAACCTCCAATCTGTATATTAGCTGGGCATTCCCATAAGTTACTGCAGGAGCCAGCAAGGTCCTTCAGAAATAGAGAAAGCGCTAAATATCCATCCTCCCTTGCTTATTTCAATTGGGTATTGTCTACATAGTTAAAAAAATACCAGGAACAAACACAGGCTTTCAGGAGATGAAACCCTCTCAGCTGCACTGGCTTTATTTTAAACAGACTCAGGACATTGCCAGCTCAAAAACCTCACTTTTTGTGACAAAAAACAGTACAAATCTCCTTTGCTCGGGTTCCTTATCCCCCAAAATATAAAAGTATAAATTCAAGGGGGAGTGGATTTATTTTAAAGCCTTCAGAAGAACAAAGATGCCTTTATTCTCACTGGCCCCAATGTTCAGATCTGCCATGAGCACGTCTCCACCCAGGCTGTCTGTCTAGTTGTTCAGGGACAGTAAGGGCCCTCTTACACAGCAAAATACAGAATGGAGACTGCTTTATAACCTGGTCTTGCCTTGTCTGTGTGGAAGGAACCCTGTTATAACCAAATCCAAATCTTGTTATACCATGGTCCCTCCACAGCAGATTCTGATTGGCAAACAAGCCCTAAAAAAGAGTAAGCCAAAAAAAATTATTTGCAGGCATTTTCCATTTCAAATTTTCTCCCTTCCCCAATTTTACTGACCAAAGAGCATCACTGGTTTGGCTCCGAGCATGTCCACTCAACAGCCTTTAATCTCAACTCACGTTTCTCCCCCCTCCCACCACTTTAACTCTGAAGTTATAGTGCATCGAGGATGTTGTCAATTTTGGTGACCAGCTCCTGGCGCTTGTTGGAATGCAGCTTCTCATTCTCAATGTACGTGTCCTTCTTAAGCTTGCCGGCCACCAACCGCTCTGCCTCAACAGACGATTTCAGAACCAGCTCCTTGACTTGGCTGTCGAGCTTCTGAATCTCGCTCACCTTGTGGGAGTTCAGAATAAAGGAATATTAAAGAGGACTGAACACAAACAGCCCTATGACATGGCTAAGCAGAAAAGCTGGGACCAAGGAAGACACAGCACAGGATATAGAACAGCCTCTCCCACGGGCATGGCTATAAGTGAACATGGCATTTGGAGGGTTCCTCTCGGGGAGGGGGCAGAGGCTAAATGGACAGAGGAGGTTTAAACGGAACCTCAGAAGCCAGATACTAGCATTGAGAAAGGTGTAATTCTTACTTTCAGTAATGTTTAATGATAAGTTAGAGACTTTCAAATCTAGGTCACCAGTACAAATCCAACTCAGGACCATGGTGGCCAAAAGTAGCTGTTTTCTGATGATTATTGTGGTTGTCAGGGTGAAGTAAGTTTGGCGGATCTCAGTGAAGTTCACAGTGGGATCAGTACCCAGAGCACAAAAACTGAACTCCCCACACCTCACGGTGGGTGGCTGCTTCTGGTCAGAGTTGAGGCATAAAGGTTGGGAATGGTAGTGTGCGCGCCTGGGGTGTGCTGTGCTGCCATGTTGTTGCAGAAAAAGGAATTCAGTCTACTGGACTGTGAAGGCAGCATCTTCCACCAGTGTGAAATTCACACTTGCACAAAAATAAAAGATTAACAAGTAAATGTGTTCAACTCTTGTGGTTTCGTTTTACCATGATACAAGTTAAGCAATGTGATGAGGCACCTTCTATGCAAAAATAAGAGTCCCAGACATGGTCAGCCAAGACAAAACTGGAGTAGCTGAACACCTGTAGGTGCTGTTCTCCCAAAGAAGCCATGTAATATGAAGCAAAAGCTTCCCAGGTGGATTCTGGCAACAAACCCAGAAATAGCCCAGGACCCCCAAAATAACTTGTGTTACTGGCTTGGATAGTTTAATAATATACAATCTGTTGCTATGTTTCAACTTAAAAGATCCAAGTTTTCATTCCATTTGACATTACTAGGAGCGTAATGATAAGATAATGCAGTTGTAACATATAATCCTACTTCCAATGCAGCTGGTCTAGGGGATCTTTTGGAGACAGTGAATGCTAGTGGCAAGCAATTTTTCATCTCCACACATTTTATAGAGCAATAAAAGCAAGAGTAAAACTACAGCAGAGGGGGGAAAAAACAAACAATACCATCCCCTACATCTTTCTGACAAGAAGCAAGTAATTTTGGAGCGCATGAAAGAGAGAACAGGAGGCAGCAGCTAAGCTAAGCATCAGAAGACATCTAGAATGGAAGCAGAGTAGCTTATAAGGCCAGCAACAAAGCACAGCTAAGACAGGAGAGAGCTCTTACCTTATCACACATGTCAGAGCCTTCTGTCTTCAGCTTGGACTGCAGAGAGGCTACTTCATTGGTCAGGGCCTTATGCTCTGTCTCCAAGGTCTTCTTGCCACTGTTTAGAGTGGAGATGTCCCGTGACTGCTTGTACTTATTCACCGCTTCATCAAAGTGGCGGTACAGGCCCAGTCTCTTGTTCACCAAGGTGAGAACTTGCTCTGTTATGCAGGCCACCTTCATCCTAGCTTCAGCAGCTGGATCCTATAAAGGGCGATAAGGTACATAGACAAGCACATACAAAAAACTTAAACTGAGCCAATGCCTGTCTAGCCACATGTGCTATGCAAAAGCACCTCAGATCTTACAATTTACAATTTAACACCAACAGCTGTCAAAAGAATGCCGAAGTTAGCTTGGTCCGAGCATAGAGGCCTCTGGCTGCCTCTAATCAGCCAGCCTAGCTCTGGGTTAATAAAAACCAAGGGAAAATAGGGAGGAAGGGACTCCCACAGGACAGTCACAAACCAGTTAGATTCAGATGGGCTTGCTGTCCCAGGGCTGGAATATTTTACATGAAAGCTAAAGATGGAGTATCCATCACATACCAAGACAAAACCAATAGGTCTTTAGGTGCTCAGATGCTATGGTGATAAGACACCAAGTACCTAAATAGGAATATTCCAATGGAAAGAACATTTAGTGAGGGGAACTATTTCTACAGGCAATTTCCAACCATTAGGGGAATAAAACTTTCCCCTCAGTCACAAGGCTGCAACTTGCCATATAGTACCTTGGTGATGGAGAAGTCGAGCCTCACATAGAAGATCACTGTGAAGAACAAGATGTAAAAGGCTCCAACCACCAACAGCGGCTCCTGCAGCATCAGGATCTTGTTGAAGGTGTAGTGCACCTGCAAAATAGGATTCAGAGAATGGGATCAATGACTTGCCATTAGTCAAGGGAGAAACTTCAAGCTCCTAAATGTTCCTAAAAACCAAGGAAGAATAGTTATGGCACACAGAATGGATCCAGCTCAGATAATGCAAACTGTGTAGTCAAGAACCTAGTCACACTGCTCGTTTTCTATATCTCTTGAGCAACAAGTTTCCCCAACTGGGCTGTGCATTGGCTATACTGACTTTCCTTAAGGGCTGCAACCCAGCATCTGCATTACAGATTCTCACATCTTCCAGCAGAGAGAACTTCACATAGTAACAGACAAGCAAAGCCACACAATTTGCATTTCATTTTTCAGGAACTCCTCAGCCCCAGACCAGATATTGTTATGATTACAAAGGTCGGTGAGGAGGAGGCATGGCTGCTCATTTAAGTTATTCAAACAAAGGGGTCAAGCCTACCACAATGTCCTGGATGTGCTGCTCTACTAGGTTGTTCTTGTGTGCCACAATAACCGGGCGTCCAAACGTGTCCAAGTAGGTGTAGTGGAGCTCGTCAGTGGCTCGGTTGATTTCATATGGGCTGTCCACATGAATATTCCTGCAGGAATAAACAGACACTCCCACATGATTCTAACATGTCTGAGATGGGATGGCTTTTTGATTGGCCTGTTGTGGCCCAATGCACACTACTCAATTGCACATTGAAAACAAGTTCACTGCAGTTTAAAAAGCAATTTATAATGTATGACAGATTGCGTTCCAAGGTGTCCTCTATGCTCATGTCAGCCGTTATGTTTTCATGGTGCTCCATCCACAAGAGCAGACAGGAGACTTGGCCATCAATGCACAGGTGAAGCATTTTCAGCAGTAACAGCACAAGAGCAGTGTCACTTACTTGGCACCTTCTGGCAGGATTATCTTTACAGTCAGAGAGTCTGCAACTTGCTCATCAAACACATGGTCAATGAACCTCATCCTCAGGGCATATTGGTCACCTGAGAGAAGGCAGAAAGGACAGAAAAAATTCCAAGTAGTTTAACAAAACAGGCTTCCATGGAAAGGTTTTCCCAGTGTCTGTGAATCTCAGCATGCTGAAGGACAGGGGCTGTATGCACTCCTCAGCAGAGGATCATTTGGCTCCCCTGAAAATGGCAGTTTTTAACAAAAGGTCTAAGGATACAGGAAGAGGCACATGCAAGCAGGAGACTGGCTTGTAAGTTACAGAAGTAACAGCTAGCAATAAACGCTAAAAAGTTACAAGGGCCCCATACTGTACAAATGTCAGATTTTCAACACAGTAAGTCTGGCCTTTTACTACCCCAATCCTGTGACACCCACCAAGGTTATAGAGGTATTCATAGCTAGGCAGGTTGTAGCCAATGATGTAATGGGTCTTCCAACCCCCAAAGAGCGGGAAGCGGGGGCGGATCTCCATCTCCACAGAGTCATCCAGGATGAGAAGGTGGCTGGTAGAGATATTTCCAATTTCATCTCGGTAATATACATCCTGAGCCGCAGCAGGAAGAATGGTCTGCATGAGGGAGAGAAGCAGCACTCAGTGCATTTGCTAGAGAAAGAAAATTTCCACTAGAATAGGCAAAGCAGCTACTGATGACACTTGGTTCAGCTTCAGTCAGGAATAGCACCACTTCTCACAAGCAGCAACAAAATGACTGCTTGGCAGCAGCATGTGGCAAAATGGCATTAATGTAAGTGATTAGCCACAATGTGCTCAGCAAAAGCTATTGCCCATATTCAGAGAAGTTATAGATGACGAAGCCCTATTGGATCATCCAGTCTATGGCCTTGAAGTCAATGTAACATTGTTCCCTACAGAACAGTCAGTGGTACTTTATCCAGTCCAGTTTCCTAAGAAATGAGGGACATGCCTACCACAATGTCCTGGATGTGCTGCTCTACCACTTCCTTCAGGATTTTATTTCACATCCTATCTGATCAGCCTAAAATTCCCATTTCGTTCCATCCCATTGCTCCTAGGGGGCTGAGCTTGTGAATTCATACACTCAACTCAATAACATTTCTCTGTCTGTCTTGATGTCACTTGACACTTTTTGAACACTGCATGCAATCAATTCCAAAATTTCAGGGAATATTCTAGGCATCAATGGGCAGAAGCCCACAGATTCTGGTGAAATATCAGAAAACCGGAAGGGGAAATGGGGGCAGAGCTCCTAGCATCTGATCAGCAGAGCAAGCAGCTTCAACCAGCTCTGTAATTGTCTACAAATCAAAGAACTTGTTGATGGCAGCCATTAACACCTTCCAGCATAACAATGGGGATAATAGTACGGGAGGAGGAGGATGGTGGAGTCCCTGCCATAGGGAAGAAGGAGAGGAGTGGGAGGGTGCCACAGAGAGCCCCTTTTATGAGGGAGGTTACAGGGAGTCCCTGAAATAGAAGGAGGTGGGAGGGTGGTGTGATGATTTGGGGAATCTGTCTGTACAATTTGAGTTCTGGTTGATGATGATATGAAGTTGTTACTATAAAAATTGCTCTACCACTGATTGCCTCTATGTAAATGTATCAGGGGGTAGCCGTGTTAATCTGTATCCACAAAAACAACAAGGAGTCCAGTGACACCTTAAAGACTAACAGATTTATTTGAGCATAAGCTTTCGTGGGTAAAAGCCTCACTTCTTCAGATGCATAAATATATGTATTTATGTCTGCATCTGTAACTTTCACTCCATGCATCTGAAGAAGTGAGGTTTTTACCCACGAAAGCTTATGCTCAAATAAATCTGTTAGTCTTTAAGGTGCTACCAGACTCCTTGTTGTTTCTATGTAAATGTGGAATCTGCCATTACCGACAGGGCTGAAAACACATCTCCAGACAATGGCTGGTCACTTCAGTTGCTGCCTATTCAGGTGGAAACATATGAAGGACAATGGGTTGGCTAAGTTTAGGAAAACTAGTTTTCTCTAACCCTCAACAAGGTGTTTGGAGAGTGGAAAATTCCTATACAACACAAAGAGAGAGCAGAGGTGACAAAGCAGGAGTTTAGAAGGACTCAAAGTGAAGGAGGGATGGGCCGGTTTAGCAGTCAGAGAAAGCAAGCTGACCTGCCCTGGAAAGGGGCTCCATGTTTCAGAAATCATACCATAAGCTGCAGCAGAGGATCCTGGACACCCCTACAAGACCCTGAGCCCAGCCCAAAGAATGCTCCAGAGTGGTGAGGAAACTGAGGCAAGGAAGTGTATGTAATGTTTATTATTTTTGTATACATCTGTGTATTTCTTGTGCTATCAAGTAAAGAGCAATGGTATTTTACAATTCTGTGCAGTCTGTGTGTGTGTTATGTGACACACCTATCGTGTGTCCCTGAAAAGTTAATCCAGAACATGGCTGGAGTTCTGGGAGAGGGTATGTTTAAGCTACAAGGGAGTCTGGGGCAGGGGGGCCAGCACTAGTCCCAGGGGCTGGGTAGTTGGACCGCAGGGTTACAGCTCTCAGGAGGGGTACTAGACAGAGGATTGGCACCCCAAAAGTGTGCCTAGAGACCCCAAGCTAGAGGCAGTGAATGGACTGTTCAGACTTTGGAGGCTTAAAGCACACAGGGATTCAGAATTTGGATCCCTTCACAGCAGTCTGGTGTGTGCCCAAGAAGGGGCATTCAACTGATCTCTGACAGGTAGCACAAAGGCAGCTTGTGGGGACAGTGTAGGATACATGGAGCACTTGGTTTATGCGGTAAGCCTACAGAAGCAACAAAGTGTGTGACACCTCCCCCACCCCTCCAGTTATACCTTCCTGTACTACCTTGAGTAATTCCTCTTTGGTAATGACATCTTGTAAATATCTGAAAGCTTTTTATGTTTCCCCCTTATCCCTTGTGCGCTGTTGCCAAATAAGAGACAAAAGAAAGGGCAAAAGGATTTTCTATAGGAAGGTGGTAAAGGAGGGCACAAAATGCAAACCTTAAAAGATTTGACAGAAGATATTCCACTGTCTGGCTGCCTTTGGTAGTCATATCTGGAGAAAGGCCCTTTGAGCACAGCTCCTGTGTGCTTTAAGTCAACAGTCTCTTCTACAGCAATATTTCCCCAGTGAGACACTTCAATGACCCGTATCATACTGGTGATGGTCAGGAATGGGTTGTTATTTTCATAGTGTACCTTAAGGATGTCCTGAGAAGGAAAGAAAACAAGATACAAATCCCAGACAAGGAAGTAACAAACCCAGAGGGAGGAGGGGAAAAGGATTCCCCCTCCATCAAATCCCAGAGTGAATCATTCCATTATAGTGACAGCCATTAGCAATGGCCATCCCTGGACCCCCCCTTTTTTTGATTTATAACAGCTGGTCACACAATACAGGATGAAAAATGCACACAGCTCAAAACTAACACACCTAACCTGAAGCTCAGCTATGACACTTTGAAGATATCAATTAAAGCACTTTAGCAAAATTTCAGCATCCATTCTGGCTGTTTTAACTGATCAAGTGGAAGCAGCTTAATGGATATGCTAGGTTTCACAAGTGACTGCTCACAACAAGGGAAGTTAGCATGGGCAGATAGGAAGCCCCTAGATACTGAGATGTCCCCTGCCATTAATACAACTGACTGCAGGTAGCAGGATTCACTGAGCTAACTGATGAATGCTTTGGACTGGAGGGAATCGGGATCCCAGAGCAAAGGTGTTATCTCATACAGACCACTGACAATAAGACAACTTGGATGGGGCATATCTCCTGCTATCAGCACCCCAAGATAAACAAAACCATCTGACCCTTAAGTTCCAAGGTGCCATTCCTTTGAGCCCACACCTGTACCATCATGAGAGTAACCAAGTTCCTGACATAAATCCCACTTGAACAACTGGTGATGTATGGGTGAAACTTGACAGGAAAAACAGCCAGATGTTCAGGTGCTTGGCTTAACACTTAAGTGCTAAATCAAACTCTGAATCTTGCAGCGAGAATGCTGATACTGCATATTAAGGACAATATGTACAAAGTAACTAGGTTATATTTCAACAGAGTCTCTTCTCCATACTATCCCATGAGCTTCCTTAAATAATATACACTCAGAGTAGCAGGTGTTTACCCCTCAGCATGTTACTACAACTATTTCCTTTTAACTTTTTTTGGAGTGAATTTAGTGTTGCTGAATTGACCCCCTCAAGTCCTCTCTGTGTACTCGAGCAGGTATAGCAAAGGCAGCTACAGTTCAAGCTCTCCCCCACTACCCCAAGACATCCGTGCCCTAGAGAGAGACCCCTCTCTCCAAGGGTTTCTCATTGGCAGTCTCAGTAGAGAGGCGAAGTTCAGAGGCAATTAATGCCAACTGTGGTGGTTTTGTGATACTGACACTTGCCCATTAGGAACTGAACTGAGAAATACCAACTCAATTCACATACAACACCAGTTTTCAGACACTTGCCACCATCCTAATATGTGACCGAGAGGCAAATGTCTCTACATCCCATTCAACGTCTTGAGCCATAATTGACCTATTTATGTGGTGCACTTTGCAGGACAACAACAAGCTACAATTTATTTTCAAGAGCCTTTCAGCCAGGGTTTTGCTAGCCACAAGAATTTACCTGGCTATATGGTGGGATGTCCTTGAAAGGCCCATATTCAATCATGTCCTCTGACCGGGTAGGATTGCCCAGCTTGGTGTAGTTCTCTACGTTCCTGGAGGCCAGTTTCACACGTGTAGTTTGGCTCTTTGTTGGGTATGGAGAGTAGAAATAATGATTCCCTTCAAAGACCACAAACTGTTTCTCTGCCTGTGTGATGTGCGTGGGGTACGGCTGCAGGACATGTGTGAAAACTGTTTCGATGGATAAACGGATCTTGGCACCTGGCGCCAGAGGAGATGGCAACTTCACGGTGAAGAATTTGCCGCTGAAAGGGAGAACAGCAGGAAAACTATAAACACCAAGATCTCCACTGGCCTGACATGCACTCTTAAGCCCCTGCAACACACACTGGTGCAGAGGGGAACCTGGAAGTTTTCTATTTGCTCTTAAAGGACTCCCTCCTTCAACACTGGGAGTGCTGTAAAAGGGCCTTGCAGGATAAGGCCCAAAGTAGATTTCTGCCAGGAGCCTGGTGCTTGTTCCTCAGGAGGAGATTTCTGTTCCACAGTATGGGTACATTTACATATAAATGGTGATGGGGCAGTCTATAATTGGATATCATTTGGCACAGGCCTGAATGGATATTCAAAGGGAATCAAGCTAACATACCACCTGTGTGATGTTTTTGGGGTAGAGATACTGGTGCGTTCCTTTCACCATTTCTCTATAGCTGCACTTCACTGTGGATTTTCCATTATTCTCTAGGTGGAGAGAATAATCTAAAATGGAGCATGGGCAATGATCTGACACGAAAACAAACATACTAAGTTCCTGCTCCTAAGAGTCTGTTACCTCTCAAGTCAGCACTACTTGTTCTCCCATTGGGCTGAAGCTGAATAAGGATGTCTATAGCCAGGGATCCAGCAGGGGTATCCTGCAGACAGTGAAGTCTGGAGGTGTGGGACTAGAGAAAACTTTTCACCTAATCCACAGCAGAGTTCTCTTGCAGCCTTCAAAGAAACAGATACCTCCACAGCAGGTTCACACCACCTAGCAAGAACTGCTGCCCAGACAGTGGAAGGAGAGTAGATAACAGCCCCAATGGATGGACCTTGGCAGTTGCAGGAAGGGAGCAGTCTCTAACTCACTGGTGATGCAGCCCTCCACCTGGATTAGTTGGGGCACCTTCAGCCAGTCATAGCTACGAAGTGGGCACTGTTCTGCCTTGATAATTCAGTGTTTCACTCCATAGCTACGAACCTCTTGAGATCACCAGCAACTAGTGCCGAACCAGTTTAAAAAGCTCACCTTATTTAATAGCTAACATGCACAGCCTCTGAAAGAGCCTTGCACTACAAATTTCTGCTCCCTCAAGCATGCTGCAAATATGGGATACTCCCCAAGTGTGGTAGATGTGGAGCCTCTGGCTAGAAAGAGGGCTCTCTCTCTGGGTTAGGGGCTACAAGCTCATTTTAAGCTGCAGAATCTAACATCCTGCAGCAAAAATATGGTTCAGTATTGCAGCGTAAACAGAGCCAAACCAAATTTGTAACTGTATGTGATGGGCAGTACAGACCCTTAAGAGGCCCATGTGGTTCTAATGCATCTCCATCCCAGTTCCCCTAATACAGGGAGGTGGCAACAGATGTTCTGACAGGAGGGTTTCATAAGATGCTAGGACACAGGGGGAGTTCCCTACATGGCACAGGGGAGCTGAGGAAGACACCTGTACTGCATCCCTAATAGAGGGACTTATAAAGAGAGAGCAGTCTCTCTGGGGAGAGGCTGCCAGACAGACTTCTCCATTTCCCCAGAAAACTGAGGGCATCTACTTTTGCTGACCTGGGAATCAGGTCCTACACTGTTACCTGTATTCTCAAATTGTGCTACAGGCTGTGGTGTGAAACGTAAGATGGGCCTCTGAAAGAATAAAGGACACCCAACCACCAGCAAGATTGTTGTAGGGGCTGCGTGATGAAATATTTAAAGTCCTGGACTTGCTCCTTAGACTAACATCTCTCTTGATTCTGCTATTACTCAACTGGGGAGGTCCAATTTGAATGGGTAAGTTACAAATACTGGTCCCTAACAGAACTGCTCCCTGTTATTTGGCATTACAGGGTAAGACTCACCTTTTACCTTTCCCCTTAGTCTCCCGCACCTCCAGGGTGTTCTCCTCCTCTTCCTCACCTTTCACCTGTTCCAAAACAAAACATTACAGCCTGATCACCATGTCACCATTTAGGCTTCCCAGGTGAAGCAGCTGAATTTATCAGGTCAAATACTACACAATTCCTATTCATTTCTTATTGGAGTGCACACAACGCATACTAGTTGACAAAAAAATTGTTTATTAAAAACCCTTCACAGTCATTAATACTAGCCAACTCAACAAATTGTGGTCTGTATCCAAGAATAGAAACTGGAGGCTCCTGTTAAATTTTTTGAAGCTTCTGCCAGTGTCCTAGGCCAATTCCCAAGCTGTCAAAGGCATGGAATGGAGTCTGTCAATGGCCGACCCTACTCCTCCAGCAGGTCCTTTTACAGAGCTTCTCTCACTGGAGCTCCTAGGGGAGCGGCCACCAAGTGAAAAAGCAAAGACTGGCACAACAGTCTCATTCTACTGTCATCAGAAAGCAGCACCTGCACAGCTACTCTCTCAAACCTCTTGAGGAAAAGAGTGCTGGATTGATAGCCCTGGAATTGGAGACTCAAGTCTCCTGAGCATCCATAGGACAAACACAGCCTGCAAGACAAAAGCTTCCCCCGTGCATCTCTGGGTCCTGCTCCAACATGTATCCAGACTGCTCTGGAAAGATCACATTTAGATGTGGTAAATGAGACACACAGATTAGCATCACTCTCCATGTCTCATTCCCTTTTGAGACACCCTAAGCAAGGTTACCCAGCCTCCTTGTTTCACAGTCATAACAACAGCCTTTTAGTAGCCTAATTATTTGTAGAGCACCAGCAGCATGCTAGGAACTTTACAAACATCTGATGGTGACAACCCTCAGTCATTACCAAACTGAGCTGGCTTTGAACAGGGGACCTAGAAGTGAAAGTCTCTGTATCCTACCACCAAGCCACTTGAGTGCTATTAAAAGCAGCACACAGAATATGCATGCAAAAGCCTTTGTTTCAGTACCACATTAACACAGTGTGGACCAAAGTCTGCTCTGTTACACCAGTGTAAGCCTGGAGTAACCCTTCTGAAGTTGATCCAGATATATGCTGGCAAAGGATAATGATTTATTCTTTGTACTACAGTGGTGCCTAAAGTGTGTTAAGCTCTACTCACAGAAGCAGTCTCTGTCCAAGTGTGTACAACTCAAGAACCTGAAAGCAAAATTTAGATCAAAGTAGAACCTGATCCTTTTTGAGTTTCAGTGGAGTTCTACTGATAATCTCTACTATTATTAAATCCCAACTGTATTTTTAAAGCATTAGGCTATTATTCTAATGCTTTGCCCTTTTATGGTATACACCAGGAAATTTCAAAGGCTTAACACTTACATTACAAGCTCTGAGGTAGGGCATTATTATTTATCCTTTATGGTAGGGGAAAATGAGGCAGAGTGGTGAAGTGACTTTGCAGAAGGTGATACAGTAAGTCAGTCGCAGAGCTGGAATCAAAGCCCAAAAATCCTAGCTCCCAGCTCCTTGAACTAACAGCTGCTTTTCAGAATCACTCACCACTAAATACTGTAAGTGGTTCAAGTGCTTGAAGAAGATTATAAGTGGATGAAGGGCTAGGCAGCCATCTGACAGTTGCCCATTCAGACTCAGGGCCCAGCTTGTATTTATATCTTTCACTCTCCCATTTATATGGGATCTCCTTCTAAACTTAAAGCCACACCAAGCTGAACCAAAGAACTGCAAGGAAATGAATGTTAACTGTCAAATCACTCACCAACCTACCCAGGGCATAACAAAACCACCCTCTGCCAAAAATAAAAACTTGAATCTACACTATAAGAGCAGGCGGGGTCCCTACTACTAAAGGCATCCAGAAAGGGCAGAGAAATAATAAGGTTTCAGAAGCTGGATGGATCTCATGCAGGTGGCCTGCAATAGCTAGCATTATGCCTTAGGGAACACCCATGTAGAGGTTCCTACTAAGACACCCCTCGGATTTCTCCCTCTCCCCCACGGTGTGGTTAGTGGTTGCATTGCAACGCCTCCGGCACTGTTGCTTACGTGTCAGTATCTGCCAGGCAGGGAAGTGGCTGTCACGGCACCATCAGCTCAGAGTCAAAAGCAGGAGAAAAATCCACGGCCACCCGAGGGGAAAGAAAGAAGCGCGGGGCTGGGGCTGGCCGGGCGCTGCCCTAGCTTGGCAGGACGGCCCGCAAGGCCGCTTGCCCGCCCCGGAGGTTTCCATGCCTGCAATGAGTGACCCAGCCCCGAACCGCTCACACACGAGGGGGGGCCCAGCCGGGGGGGGGGCCCCGCCGCGCGCAAGGGGGAGCCAGGGGGCTCCCGCCACGCAGAGGCCGCGCCGCGGAACGGGCCAGGCCGAGGGTCGCCGGGGGGATGGGGACGGGGTCCCTGCGGAGGAGCGGGCGAAGCGTAGCCGGGGCGCGCACTCACCTGCACCCCGAGGTAGGCCAGGTGGCTCTCCAGGCCGGGGTCCAGCGCCAGCAGGAAGGAGCTGGCGCCCCCGGAGCCCCCCGCCGGGTTAGCCAGGCTCAGCTCGGCCGTCACCTTGGCCAGGTGGGTGCTGAGATCCACCGTCCGCTTCACCTCCTCATTGAGCAGCTCGGGGGCCGCTAGGGCACAGCCCAGGCAGAGAAGCAGGCGGCAGGCGAGGCCCTCCATGGCCGGCCAGGCAGCGGATGAAACCGGATGGACTCTCACAGACAGCGGTGGGGGCGCCCATCCATCGGGGAGGGCACAAGATGGCGGCGCCCAGGCCGAGGGAGGGACAAGATGGCGGCGCCCAATCATGGACCAGGGCACAAGATGGCGGCGCGCACGACAGGCAGGACCCCGTCAGGCTCCGCAACCAAGGGGGCTACGCCGATGCCTAACTAAAAATGCTGTGACCAAAGGCAGCGCTGAGCATGACAGTATTCCTGTAGGATCAGAATCCTAAGTTAGTGAGAGCTCAGACCTCATTGCAGAGAGCAGAGATTGTCCATATATTGTGCAGGGGGTGGATACTGAGTCTGTTCTTCACAGCTCCGAGCTTCCTCTGGGAACCTGGATAGATCTGGGCAGAGCCTGGCCATGACGCTTACAGTGATGCCAACCCTCAGAAACCACAGACCAGGCTCCAGTATCATGAGAGTTCATTCAAACAATACATGTGGGTATTTCCCCATTTACCATCTAGTTTCTGAGCCATCTTTAGGGTACACTGGGGTCAAGCTTTTCAACCATGAGGGCTAGAGACTTTTTTTTAAATTGAAAGATGAGCCTCTCATCATCATGACTCCAAGAGCTGGGGCTTTAAGAAAACCACCAAATATCATAAGAGGTATGATAAAATCATAAGAACGGGCAACACTGCTGTCAATATCACTAACCCTTAGCTGCAAATTAATTAGTTGGGCCCAAAAATAAGATTGGCTTTAAAATAATGAGGTTTTTAAAATATCTTTTTGTTTTCCAGTTTCTGAGCTATTTTGGATGCCACTGGGTCATGTTTTCAAGCTCTTTTCTCTATAATCATGGGAGCTAGAAACTTGGAAGGACAAGAAAAAGACAGCTGAGATTCTCATGTAATGACAGGATTCCAGGAGCTGGGGCTTTACGAAAAGCACCAAATAATGCAGGCCTTGTAACAATATTGTGAAAGTTGACAAAAAGCTAAAATAGAATAGCTAAAATAGACTGATGAGCCCAGCTGGAGAGCTGAGACAACTCAACGGCCTTTGCCAGATTTTGGCTGGAAACCGTCCCCAGAGATTTGACCCTAAATCAGCCATGAAGCTGTAAGCATTGTGTTTTAGGGCTGAAGCAGGGGAATGGGCTGTTATGTTTTCCAGGAGTCAGGGAAGTTGTGTTTTGGGGCTGGTGCAGGAAATCGGGTGTTTGTTCTGTGGCTATCAGGGAGGGCAAGGAATGGAAAGTAGTGTTGAAGGTGTTTTTTGAGGGCTCTGAGCACTGTTCCCTCTAAGCTGTGTGCACGCACACAGATCCTAAACCCCGCACGCACAGCGAAACACAGCGTGCACAAAAATTTGCACAGAAGCACAATTTGCCCAGAAGAAATTTTTTGTGCACACGGCCTGTCAAAAATTAGAGGGAACGTTGGCTCTGAGTAGGGGTTTTAGTTGTCGGGTGTGGATATGATTATGATGCTCTTTACATGGGGGTCTGGTGATTGTTTCATTGTGTTTCCATTCTGAATTTATGAGCTGTACCTGTTGAGAATTGCCTTGTTTTTTTGGCATGTGACATTTTGTTTATCCAGGAGAAAGAGAATACCAAAGGAAAGTTTAAATTGAATCAAAATATGATGTTCTTTAAAGGGAGCAAAATCGCCTAGTGCTAGTGCTTAAAAAAGAAGCCAATAACTTAACCAATGGTGAAATAAAGCTGAAGTTTGAAAGATCCAAGACAGTCAAAGACATAGTAACCACAGCTGTCTTAACCCAGGCAAAGAGAAGTTCTAACAGTAAATTTTTTACTGCTTTAACAGTGCACTGGGGTGACTGGCACCTTATATAATAAGCACCTAAAATAGGTAATGGCAAGAGACTAGCATTTTTTACTGTGATTGCAGGATTGGGGCCTTAGACTGCAATTTCTATGGAGCAACAATCATCTTTTTGTTCTGTTGGTACAGCACTAACAGAGTGGGGCCCCTACGTGCTACCATAATACAAATAATAAATCCTAATTTATCTGAGCTGAGACTGCAAAATATGAGAAGGGTGTTAGCTAAAGATAGTCCTAAACTGCAACGTTTAGATCTGGAGGCAACTCTCCCAAAGTTTGGGGGAGATTAGATCAGATCCAGGATTCCAGGTGAGGCCCTTTCTAGTACAGAATAGGAGGGTGAGCCATTTTTAATTCTCCGCCACCTCCATGCTTTTGATCCCTAAACAATGTTTTTTCTTACCAAACATGCTACCTCAATATTTTTACTTTACTTTGATATTAGTGCTGTTGAAACTTGTAAGATTGATAGCCTTGGATACTGAATACATTGAACACCAGAACAAGTATAGGATTGGCCAGCTTCCCTCACCCAGCCCAGCCAATGTGCCTCAGACATGCAGCCTGGACAGACCACACCTTTGTCACTGTGTCTCGTGACATTTCTGGACAATACCAGCAACAAAAACGTGACATAATTTGGGTTGGTCTCATATGCAGTCTCAGGCTCCCCTCTTGTGCTCTGGGGAGCAGGCCAGATAAGGAAATACACAAGGTTCCCTAAACAATTCAGATGAGTTTTGCTTACCATGCCCCTGTTCTCCAGAGCCATCCGAGAGCAGTAATTTTGTAAATGGGATCATCCTTCCTGCTTTGGGAAAGCGAGAACAGAGCAGGAGGATCATGGGGTGCAGAAATGTGATGTATGGGATCCAAAACAAAGTTGCTGTTGGGTCTAATTTAAGGCCTGTCAGCCTGGCTGATGTTCTTGGGAGTTGCGGATGATTTATGGTGATATTATATGCATGCAGTTTATTTTCCTCTGAAAGTTAATCTGCTCAAGATTCTCATTTCACCTTTCTGGCCCTCAGCCCAAATCTCTGTTTTTTGCTTCCGTTTCAACTGAAATAAATCCGCTCTTAACTGTGGATTCAGTGACTCCAGCTCCAGTCACTATCCACCCGGCTTCCGAGGAACAATTCATCCTTCCAACATAGGACCTTCACTGCTACAAAAGCAAATTAACATTTCTATGTATATTAGAGATGGATGGGCCCAAACAAAACCCCATCTTTAATCTTTGGATCCAGAGCCAAAGTTCTCTCTCTTGAATGGGCACAATCCAAACCCCAGATCTACCCTACTGAATTTGGAGATTCAAATTCTGAATCCAAATTTGAACTATCCCAAAGTCTGACGTGTTCAGAATCAGATGTTACGTACTATAGCTTCAAGGTGCTACTCAGCTCGGACTCCATTGTTCGGATCCTGGCCTTTGGCCCATCTCTAATTTAAATCACTAAGTCACACTTTAATATTAGTATTAATGCTGCCTCTGATGCAAATTAAAAAGATTAAATCCTGCCGATATGGACCTAATTCATTCTTAGTGTGACCGTGTTGTTTTCAGAGATCTTGCATCAAGGATCAGTTTGGCCCTGTCGGCCCAATTCACTATTGCTCTGCACTTTGTGTAGTCATTTACACCTGTGCAGCATTGACTTAAAATGACACCCTTCTGGCATTGGAACCTCTTGCACATATGTAAATTAATACACAAAATGCAGGGCATCAGAGAATGGGGTTTACTCACTGTGTCTGTGAGTAATTTACATACTGCACTTGCACAGGAAGGGAGAGGCTGTTTTTTTTAAATAAAAAACATTATACGTCACTTGCCAAATAGTGCATCAGATAAGTTTTCCTTGCTAGAGCATGTTTGCATAGTTGCAGATTTCTCAGCCTTACTATCCCTGACCAGACACTGCCCTGCTTCCCCCTCTTTCTTTCTTGTACTATGGGAGTCACCTTAAAATCATCTGTTTTGGATTAAAATTTATGAAATAAAGTCAAGGAGCAAAGAAAAGAGTCCCAGCAGATGTGCTGATAATATGCACTGAGTGGGAGGTTAGTTGCTTGTTAAAAGTGCTTTGAAAATCAGATGGCTGGTGACAAAGCATTACAGAAAGGCCAGGCGCAGACATGCATCGTCAGTGCTGTCCTCTCTCTGAGTGATGTTAGATTAATAAGGGGGTTTTGGCTGTACTTCTGAGTGACCCTAGGACCCAAGTCTCCCCCCAAGGGACTTGAATGGAAGCAGGATTAATCCCTAAGAATAAATCTCCTCCATGTTACCATAGCAAAAATTCCAATTTTATTCATGGACTAGAGACAGCAGCTGTACCCTGCTGTCACGAGGGAGCCTTTCAGAAGCCTGTGTACTACAAGTGGCCTGTGGCCAGAATTATAAATCCTGCATGCAGCCAGAAGAGTGCCGGAGTTTAGCAAACGACTTCAGAGTCCACACATCAGAATCAGGACAAGACACTATCTCGTTGTGGATGTCACATCCTAATCCCCTTTGAGCCCCTGACTGGCCTTTCTTTGGCCAGAGAAATGCCCAGTGGCAAGGCATCACTACACTTTAAATGCTGAATATTGAGCACTCTGTCCCTCTCATCTCCAGGTGTGTGCGTAGCCTGGATCACTCTGGATTTCCCACCTGTCCTGGAATTATGTCAGTTCATTGTTTTTAAAGTTTTGTTTCATTCAAAATAGGAGCTGGATTTTGTAAAAACAATGCAACGCATAAGAAGTGTCTTGTCCAAAAACCCCAACGCTGATGACAATGTAGCGATGATGCTAATACTCTGCCCTTCTCTGACACCTTTTAGCCAAGGCTCTCAAACTGCTCTGTAGTAACTATACTTGACTACACCACAGAAGATCCAATAGGTCCACATGCTATTGAAATAAAGGCAACCCTAGGGTAGAATAAGGCACTTGTTTAACAGTCACACAAGAGTGCTACAAAGGTATTGGACAGGAAGTGAAGAAGAATCCTGTATCCCGATGAAACTGCAGGGGGAATTTTGATCAGCCCATAGTAATTACCTGAGATGGAGTATGATTAGGATGTATAATAATACAGCTACTCCTTAGCACTTCTAGATCAGTAACATTTTACAGCTGCATAAACGAATTCTCACAATGCTTTTCTGCAGTAGGTAGGATCCCTTATTTTACAGAATCTGTTTTGAAGAGATGCAGCGACTTGCCCAAGATCACGCA